CACCACTTGCCCTCGTCCTGGGCCAGCGTGATGACGAAGGTGCTGAGCAGGGTGAACATGCTCAGGCTGGCGTCGGGGAAGATGCAGGCGTCCGCTTCCACCGGGAAGACGCCGGAGGGGCCGTTGCTTTCTTGGCCGTCGCCGTCCGTCTGCTCCATTAACCTTTGGGAAAACAGGCAAGAGCTCTGAGCCAAGGCGAGGGGAGAAGCCAGCGTGCGCCTTGGCCGCCTCTTTGCCCGGCCCTGGGAAGTGAGCTCCTGCAGGAGAGCTTTTAGCACGGGCAGAGATGGATCCAGAGCCTGACAGGCAGGGCAGCCCTGGGATGGGGTCACCCCTGCTCACCTGCTCTGCTGCTCCAGGGACACGCAGTAGATCCCGCTGTGGGCACACAGGATGTAGAGCTGCCGGGGCTGGGGCAGCAGCTCCACGTGCCACACCTGGTCGGGGCAGCGGAACACAGCCTGGCAGGGGGGACACAACCAAATGTCACCTCCCACGGCACCCGCGGGGGCGGCAGGGACAAGGCGGCTCCCTGCAGAGGGGGATCCAAAGCGGTTTCCAGGGACACAGGGATCCCTGGGCAGCGCCCAGCTGGGTGTTCCCGGGCTGGGGGGTGGGAGAGGGGCTGAGGCAGCCTGTCATTCCCGCTCCCTGAGGGGAAGGAAAACAGGGAGCAGGGTACGTGCTCTACTTTGCCGAGCGGGAGCGCAGTGTGGGAGGCAGATCCCGCTCGTACAGCGGTGGATTTCTTAGAAATGGTAATCAGAACAAATTAACAAAGGCAGCAGCGTGTCAGTCAGGGCGCTGTGACAGTGGGGACAGCAGCCAGGCCTGGGGGAGAGGGGAGAGAAGCCCCTGTGCAGTCTGTGTGTCCCACAGGACTGGGAGAGGGGCCAGCTGGCAGCACCCCCAAACCCCAACAAACCCCAAAGAAAAGAGTGCTGCTTGTAGGGTTCGTTTGTTGGATGCTGACAGAGGGAATCCAGGGGTAGGGAAAGGGGTGTCCCCACGGGATGGGGGGCACAGTGAACCCCCACCCCACCGAGCCCCTCACCTTGAGCACTTTGCCCTCCTGGTCGTACACGTAGACGAACTCGGTGCCGTTGGAGAGGTAGATCTCGTTCTCGTGGCACAGCANATGGGAGGGGGCTGCCCTCAAACACTGGTTTTATATTATCGAGCCTGGGGGGGCTTCCCGGCCAGGAAAGGTAAATGCTGGAGTGGTTTTCCAAGAGAAAAGCTTGAGGAGAGATGGGGGTGTTCGGCCTGGAGAAAAAAAAGGCTCCAGAGAGACATTAGGGCCCCTTGCAGTGCCTAAAGGGGCTCCAAGGGAGCTGGAGAGGTACTTTGGACAAGGGCCTGGAGTGAGGGATAATAGGAATGGCTTCCCACTGCCAGAGAGCAGGGTTAGATGGGATATTGGGAAGGAATTGTTCTCTCTGAGGGTGGGCAGACCCTGGCACAGGGTGCCCAGAGAAGCTGTGGCTGCCCCTGGATCCCTGGATATGTCCCAGGTGGATTGGATGGGGCTTGGAGCACCCTGGGATAGTGGAAGGTGTCCCTGCCCATGGGGGTGGAATGGGATGAGCTCTAAGGTGTCTCTTACCCAAACCATAATTAATTACTGGCAATGACCTGCACAACCCCCAGCTTTGGTGCCACCTTTACCTCTCTGAGGTGTCCCCAATCCCCGACAGCAGCTCCTTGATCCTCCGGCCGATCTCAGCTGGGGTCAGCTCCACGTCCGGCTCCTCGGGGCTGCACAGCCCACAGGACACGAGGCGGCCCTTGGCCGACAGGGCCAACAGCTCCGACTCCCCTGCAGGCACAGACGGGGGGTCAGGGGCCAGGAAGGGAGCAGGGCCTTCCTGGATGGCTGAGGTGGGGGGCACAGGGAGCAGCGTGGCACTGCCTCCCCAAGGCAGTGGGATGTGATGGAGACAGACATGGATCACCACAGCACAACCTGCTCACACACAGAGCCCTGAGAGGGGACAACACGCTGTGCCTGCCATCCCCAGCCAAGGCCAGCAGCACCCAGCTGTCACACAGGGGCTCTGCTGGTGGCACAGGCTCTGTGCACAGCCAGTCCAGAGGCACACTGAACACCTCATTTTGGAGGGAGCCTGATCCGAGCCTGGGGCTGTCCCACAGCTGTCAGGGCTGGCCACCTCCTGCAATGCCAAGCTGAGGCACTGGGAATGAGCAGGGACAAGCAGGAATCACAACGCACAGGAACAACTAACAAAACCAAGGCAAACCAACAAGGATGAAAGATGGAGCCCCACCCACCCCACACAGAGCTGGATAGAGGAGAGGTGAGATCCCACCCTGCTGCCCCCAGTACCTTCCGAGGCCCGGGAGGACAAGGAAAGCGCCACCACGCTACAGATACTCAGNCCTGGGAGTCCCAGCCTTGGGAGCCACAGCTCCAGCAGCCCCCAGACCCTGGGAGCCCCATCCTTGGGAATTCCCAATCTCAGGGCAGCCCAAACCCCACATCTGGCACCCCCAGATGCTGGTGCTGGACTGTCACACCATGGCACCATAGAAACACCTCCCAGTGCAGCCCAGGCTCCATCTCAGGGGGTTTGGGGTCACTTGGGGTGCCCCTGGCCCAGGGGGGTACCTGTATGCGCCGGATGACGGCGTGGTGTGTCCTGCACATGTGGGCCAGGGATGGGCTCTCCATCAGGATCTCCACAGCCTGGATGGGACCTGCAGGGCTCAGGTCATTCATGGCCACCTGGACAGCGAGAGCAGTGTCACTGCCAGGGGGACAGAGCCCCTCCCCACAGGCACCAGGTTCCTCAGAAGGTTCCAGACACCCCCAAACCCTCCCATCCTCCCAGGAGCAGTTGTCCCCAGCCTGGTGCTACCAGGTGAGCCCTGGCAGAATGAACACTGTCACTCATCACCCTGGGGACATCTGAGCTCTCAGGTGCAAATCCACCTGTGCCAGGTACCTGGAGGCCCCTCAGGGGTCAGGCAGGAGAGCTGGGCAGAAATCCCCATTTTCCCTGTGCCTTTAGAGGGCAATTCTGCATGGGGTGGATTTACAACCCAAACCCAAATCCCAGTGCATTTTCTAGAACCAAAGAAATGGGAACATGTGGAGAGGGAGGGAAATAACCACAGCCTTTGGGAAGCCCAGGGTTGGGAGAATGGACTGGGAATGCTGCCTGTGCAGCCCAGAGGAGGGGACAGAATGGCATGGCCATGCCCCCACTCATCTCCCTGACCCCAGGAAGGAGCTGGCTTTGTGGGATGGAGCTTCCCTGCAGGCTGACCCATTCCTTGGCTCAGGGCTAACCCATTCCTTGCCTCTGTGACGAGCAGCTGGACGTGGGCACCGTCGGGTGCCGTGCCACACACCGATGCCACCTCCGTGCTCAGCGCCTCGGCCCCGGGGTTCTCAGCCAGCAGCCAGCGCAGGGTGGCACAGCAAAGTGGGACATCTGGGGACCAAAGCACAGAGCAGAGATGTGACACTGCTGACAGCGTGTGCCTGAGACAGGCCCTGAGGGGGCAGGGGTAACAGAGGACCACCCCACATTGGGACACGCAGAGTTGTGTCACTGCCACATGTGCCAAGGCTGTGGTGTGGGGCAGTGGGGTCACACAGCCCTCTGTGCCCAAGGGAGGGGCTGTGACAGTGCCACCCTGCCAGACCCACCTGTTTCCGAGGTTTTGAGAGCACTTTTCAGCAGCTCCGAGGACACCCGGATGGACGCTGCCGAGGGGGGCAGGCTCTCCTCTGCCGGGCTTTTCCCCTCCTCGGGCTCAGTCTGTTCCCGGGACACTTTGAGGAAGGTCTCCACAGGGTCTGAGGGGGCAGGGGGGGCGCTGGGCCCGGGGGGGCTGCTCCCGAAACGGAGGCACTGGAGCATGTCAATGGTGCATTGGCTGAGGGGCAGGCAGATGCCCTCCCTGTCCGGGGACAGCAGGGGCGAGTCGTCGGGCAGGAAGTCATCCAGGTCCTCGGAGGAGTCGGAGCCACTGCCCAAAATATCCCTCAAACTGTAGTAGAGGGCACAGGAGATGGTCAGAGGCAGGTCCAGCTTGGTGTCGGCAGCGGGGCCGAGGGGCAGCGTCAGCTCCCGCTTGTTGCCAGGGAGCAGCTGGTCAATGGGGAAGGTGAAGGTGGTGGCCGAATCCATGGATTCCTCCTCTAAGGCACAGGGGCTGGCCAGGAGCTGGACACAGAGGGTCCAGCCCTCCTCCAGGCTGTACTCGCTGCAGTTCTCCAGCAAGCAGGAGATGGTGACGGTGTCCTGGAGCAGGAGGCAGCTCCAGTTGGCAGTGACGGTGCAGGCGATGGGCTTGTGGCCCTCCTGGCTGGAGAGCAGCGCCGCGCTCACGTTCATCACCTGGTTCAGGCTGGCCAGGGCTCGGTTCCTCTGGTCCACAGCTTTCTTCAGGAAGGACACTCTGCAAGGACAGTGTGACAGGGATGGAACAACGGGAGGGACACCGGGATGGCGCTGTGCTGCCAAGCTGAGCTGCTCCTGGCATGATCCCACCACAGAAAACCGCCAGCTTCTCTGCCATGGCAGCACAGATCCATGTTCCATCAGAGCTGAGCCTGTGCAGTGGCTCTGGACAGCCAG